AGGAGGAGGAGGAGGAGGAGGAGGAGGAGGAGGAGGGGGAGGGGAGGGCCACTCCTGCGTGCGGCCCGCCCCCTCGTGCCAACGCACCTGCCAGGAGCGTCAGCGCTCGCCGCCGCCGGAGCTCGACGGCGCGGGCGGCGGCGCTCCGGCGGCAGCGGCGTGTGTGGGCGTGCGCCAGGAGGCCCCCGCGGGGGGTGTGTGGGAGTGGGGGCGACCTTTCGAGGTTCGACCGAGCTCGAGGCGTCAATCTTGCGCGCCTGTTTGTCCGCCCGATAGCTTGCCCGAGAACAGAGGCGGAGGCGCCCCCCGCGGGCCGCGCGCGGGCGGCGCCGGTCCCGCGGCCGGCTGCGGAGCGCGGTGGAGGCAACGGGGGCGCGGACAAGCCGCGCCCCGCAGCCAGAGGCCCGCGCTCGGCCCCCGCAAGGCTAGAGGCCAGAGGTCCGAGGCTTCCCGGACGTTCGGGAGGGAGGGAATCATTTGTCTTGTTTTCGCCGTAGCAACGGCGGACACCACGGGACACCACGGGACACCACGGGACACCGCGGGACACCCGGAGGGCCACCGCTGGACGGGCGGGAGGGGGAGAATCATTTGTCTTGACTTCGCCCTAGCAACGGCGGGTTCATTCCTCTCGCGCGCCCACGCAGCTTTGTCTCGCCCGCACGCGCGACACGAACGAAACGAAACGTTTTCCCAGTTGGGGGTCTCTGTTCCGCCGCGATCTCACCCCCCAACCTCCGCTATACAATATCAACGCATAAGCATATGTATGCAAGTCTATATTTATTTATATATATATATATATGTGAATATGTACGTTTCCGCATGCAACCATCTATCCAGCCATACATGTGCACACACATACAGGTGTACACACATACATTCAATGCGCACATATTCATCGATACGTCAAACGTACGCGCACATCTATACACATCCATACGTTTTTGCAACCACACATAAACAAACATGTTCAATATACAGATGCACATCTATACAAGTATACGTATATACATGTGTACCTTCTTGCATGTGTACATACTTACAACTATCCATATGTACATGTGCACACATATCCTTGTGTACACATAATCACATATACAGCGATGTACCCATACATAAACACATGCACACATACATGCATACAGAGCATGTGTACATATACAGATACCCACACATACACACATGTAACCATCTAGAGAACGGCATATCAACTGATATAGAGAGAAACATAGAGATATTGTGAGAGAGAGGGAGAGGGCGGTTGTGCACACACATGTATCTATATATATATATATATATATATATATATCTATACAAAAATACGTAATGCGCGGAAACATGGGACATTTAGGTTATTTTGTTTTTTATTATAGAGAGAGAATAAGAGAGAGAAGAGAGGGGAAGGAGAGAGAGAGAGGGGGAGAAGAGAAAAAGAGGGAG